GGGCTCCCTGCTCAGCAGGGAGTCTGCTTCTCCCTCTGACCCTCCCCCCTCTCATATACTCTCTCTCTCTCATTCTCACTCTCTCAAAATAAATAATAAATAAATCCTTAAAAAAAAAAGAGAGATATGCTCAAAAACACTAGAGATAAATCAAAATGTACTTCTGAAAAGTGTTCAAGTCACCAACAGGAAGATAGGAAAAAGAAAATAGATAATGCAAACAGAAAAATATAATAAAATGGCAGACTTATCCCTAACAAATCAATAATTACATTAAAATATAAATAATTACATTAAATATAAATAGTCTAAATATACCAACTAAAATACAGATTGGCAGACTGGAATATATATATATTATATATATAAATTATATACTGTATATAAGAAATTCACTTCAAATAACAGTACTGGCAGGTTGAAAGTAAAAGGATGAAAAACATATATGTCATACAAACATTAATCCAAGGAAATCAGGGATGGCTCTTAATATCAAATAAAGTAAACTTCAGAACAGAGAAAATTCTGAGGGACATTATATAATGATAAAATAGTTTATCTGCCAAAAAGACACACCAGTTCTAAATGTGTATGCACCAAACAACAGAGTTGCAAACTATGTGAAGGAAAAACTGATAGAATTGAAAGGAGAAATACACAAGTCCGCAGTTATAGTTGGTAATTTCAAAACCTTGTCTCAATAACTGATAGAGCAAATAGACAAAACTCAGTAGGAATATGGAAAACCTCAAATACAACATCTACCAACAGGAACCAATTGACATTTATAAAATACTCTATTCAACAAAAGCAGAAGACACACTCTTTTCAAGTGCCCACAGAACATATACCCAAATAAACCACATCCTGGGCCATAAAACAAACCTCAACAGATTTAAAAGAATTGAAATCATACAGAGTGTGCTCTATAACTACTATGGAATCAAACTAGAAATCAATAGCAGAAATATAGAAAATCCCCAAATGCTTGGAAACTAAACAACACACTTCTAAATATTCCATGGGTCAAAGAAGAATTTTCAAGGGAAACCAAATAATATATTGAACTGAATAAAAATGAAAATGCACCATATCAAAACTTGCGGGATATAGCAAAAGCAGTGCTGAGAGGAAACTGTGTAATACTAAATGCATACATTACCAAAGAAAACGTTTTTTAAATCAGTCATCTAAGCTACCATCTCAAGAAGCTAAAAAAAAAATCCTTTAAAAGTAAAATAAACTTGGGTAACCTGGGTGGCTCAGTTGGTTAGGTGTTTGAATCTTGATCTCAGCTCAGGTCTTGATCTCAGGGTTATAAGTTCAAGCCCTGCATGGGGCTCCACACTGAGCATGGAGCCAACTTAAAAAAAAAAACACAAAAACTGAAATAAACCCAAAGCAAGCAAAAGAAGGGAAATAATAAAGGTAAAAGCAGAAATCAAGGAAATTAAAAACAAAACAAAACAAAATAGAGAAAAATCAATGAAAGAAAGAACTGTTCTCTGAAAAGATCAGTACAATTGACAAGCCTGTGGCAATACAGACAAAAGTAAAACTAGGGCAGACACAAATTGCCATTATCAGGAATGAAACAGGGGACGTAATTATAGACACTGCAGACATCAGTAGTATAAGGGAATACTATGAACACCTCTACACGCATAAATTTGATAACTTAAGTGAAATGGACTAATTCCTTAAAAAAAAAAAACTACCCCAACTCACCACAAACAAAATGATAATTAGAACTACGGAGAAAATTACAATTTAAAACTCTAAAAAGGAATCTCCAAGTCCGGGTGGTATCACTGGAGAATTCTACCAAATTCTACCATATTTAAATAAGAATTAACAGCAATTCCATATAATCTCTTCCAGAAAATAGGAGAGGAGGATACACATCCCAATTTATTTTATGAAGCTAGTATTACCTTGATACTAAAACCAGACACAGTATAAAACAAAAGACTACAAACCAATATTCCTTATGAATATAGACACAAAATCTCTTAGCAAAATATTAGCAAATAAAATTTAGCAATATTACAAAAAGAATTATGCACCACAACCAAGTAGTGTTTATTTCATGCATTCAAGTAGGGTTCAATATTCAATATAGTTCACATAAAAATTGTCTTTTTTTAGTGTTAATGTCATATTCATCTATAGCGGTTTCCTCTTCCTTTTTTTCCTTCTTTCAATTCCTCTTTCTCTTTTTCCCTCTCTTAGGAAATGAATGATTACCTGATCAAAAGAGTCCTTCACTCTTTATGTGCACATTCTAGGGATGTATGGTCTAAATAAACAGGCACAATGTCTGAAATAATGGAAGACAAAGTTATTAAGATGTATTTCATTTTGTGGACACTAAAAGTGTATTTACATAATAGCTTTTATTATTACAGTTGTAAGAAAAAAAGAAAGGGCATTCTTTTCAAGTTAAAAGAAGATACCAATTTTGGCATGTTTCAAAGTCTTTAAAAAACTAATTTATTATATGATAACAAGTGTCAGTACAATATTTGATCTGAACAGGCCAGGGTTAAATTTCCTTTGATTAAACTGAATTTCCTGCATGGGATTTATGAATTAAGCAATATTCCACTATTTCCATAACTTGTTTAAAATTTAAAATTATACATATAAAATTGTATTTAAAATGAATGATAACAATGAATCCTTTTTAAAGATTTAATTTTATAACATTCTTACTTTGGGACAAATCATAAGAATTTAATTTTTTTTAAATAATTTTTATTGTTATGTTAATCACCATACATTACATCATTAGTTTTTGATATAGTGTTCCATGATTCATTGTTTGTGCATAACACCCAGTGCTCCACGCAGAATGTGCCCTCTTTAAT